ACCAAGATGAATTGATGGAAGATGGTGCTATAATGTTTACTGGTGGAGAGCTGTGTTGAGGACTTGACCATCTTTATGGAGAAATTATAAATATTGTTCCAAATTACAGGTTCAAGGGCAATTATATGAGCCAGGTCCATGGCAAATTGGGTCCTTTCTTGCTCGGGAAGGAGATGGAAGCCGCTAGTGGTATGAGTTATAATGACATTAAGCTCATTTTTCAACATGTCAAATGTAAGCAAGATGCCACTTCTAACAGAACTGGCAATGCAAAGGTTTCTGCAGTGCTGAGAGCAGCTCCCACAGGAAGTTTTCGACATTTCGAAGTATTAAGAACTGGTCTTTCAGGGTTGACTTCAGCCGCTGAGGGGATATGGAACTCTTCTTTGGACAGCTTTTCATGGTTGGATGTCATGGGACGATTGACTCAGGATTGGAAGGATGTGATTATGAAATTGCAATGTACTTTCCACGTGCATTTTCCATTGAGCAGAGAAGCTTTCTGTTTGGGAGCATATCCAGCGTGAAAAAGGATATAAGCTTGGACAATCCTTTACTTTTTAATGCAATGAAAAGCTCCAGAGATTTGGAATATGGATCATACAATTATTCGAAAATCAAGTTGGTCAACGTGTTTGGGAGGAGAACTCTACCTTATCAAATTTTAGCTATGGTCAAGCTGTTGCTCTTCCAGTATCCGGCAATAAAAGATGCAGAAGAACCACTTGCTCAGTTAAGCCTACTGTCCAGTAGTCTTGCTATAAATGGTTATGTGGTCCCTGATCAATTAACTGATGGACAAAAATCAAGGATTCTCTTTGAGATTGAGGTGCTTTCTTTAGGTCCATTATTTGGACGGTATGAACCCAATATGGACAAGCGAAATCTAAAGAAGAAACCAGTCATTACAAAAGATGATCTCACAAGCTGCCGGTTCTTGAATGTGTCTACGCGTCTAATCTTCAAAACACAGAGAGAACACAAGCAGACAACTTACAAAAATGCCTCAGACTTGTCCTTGAAAGGTCTATCTGATCCTGTTTTGGGTGAGATGCATTTGATTGGATGTAGGAGGACTTTGGTTGAGAGCATTGGCATAAAATGAGGCCAAGATTGTTTAATTGAAGTGAAAATTCAGTACCCACCCAAAACTTTACAGTGGTGAAGAAATCCAACTGCCAAGATCACCATCAGGAGGCAGAGGCAGGAAGATGATCCCCTTTATTTTAGCTCGATTAGTCTTCATGCTCTTTTGACTCATTACCCAGATTATCTTGGAACAGTTGCTAATCGAGAATCTTTCAAAGGGATTCTTTGAATTCTAATGCTTGCTGGGTAAATTGCAATCATATCGAGCCAGCTGTTATACAAGGAGAAAGAAGCAAATATTGTTCCTTACATTTCTATTTCCATGCTTGCTTTTCAGATCCTGGGATATAGTCTTCCACTGATCTGTGGTGCCAAAGTTCTCTTCAAATCAAAGGATCCTGAAGCTTACAGAGCAGGCTGTGGTCATCCTGCGTTTGGAATGTTGAAAGCTTCGGAAATGTTCTTTTATTAGTCGCCTTACTACGTACCGCAAGAATTTTTCAGATGGCAACAGAATCTTGAAGCAAGCCTCAGTTTAAAGGTACCTCCAATGTAAGATATGCTTCTAAAGAGAACAGGTATTACTGAGTACCATGGCCATACACACTTTCGGATTTCTTATTTGGCTTGCTGCTCGTGATGATCCTAATGTGCGCCTACAGCCTGGAGAAGGCATGCATGCACCAAAAGATGTGCATATGCAGCAGACATGGATGACCGTAATACAGGATAATCTTTATTTTATTCAAGACTTCTTTCTGCTTCCTCAGATTCTTAGCAATCTATTGATGCCAACACCTGTTAGATCCCTGAGGGAAGGCTATCACCTTGGATTTACTTCAATAAGGCTACTTGTGAACTTTTTTGACCATATAAGGGATCCTCTTTTACATATCAAAATGGAAAGATAGGAATCCATGAGTCCGAACTCAACTTCTCCATTGTTTGCCAAGTTTGTTACTCCATAGGTTCACTTTTTGGAGAATACTGGTATCAGTCCATTAGGAACACTGATAAACAGATTGAGGGGTCATGTGATTCTGATACTGAAATAATTGAAATTTCAGGGCATCTAAAAATTACTAGTCAACACTACAACAATATTTCACTGTCCTTTGAGGGTTTATATGACCGGGGTTTGTGTAAGATGCACCTAGTTGGTTGCAGGGATGTTCGATATCTTCCAAAGATCTCAAAGTTGGGAACTAACCTTGAAGGAGAAATGGATTGTCAGTTTGAAGTCAGTGTAGAGTATAATCCTGAAAATGCGCGGTGGCTAGTGAATCCAACCATAAAAATCTCCTTCAGCAGCAAAAAAAGTGAGGAAGACCCCCTTTGTTTCAGTCAACTCAGCCTAAAAACTAATCCAGTTTCTTACATTGAAAAAACAAAGTACATAGTCTTCCGAAGAACTTTTGAGGGCATACTAGGAATTCTAATGCTCACTCTGTCAATACTTTGCACACACAGCCAGCTGCGTTGCTCCAAGAATGCTGCTTCATGCAGTGAAGTGTCTCTTGCCATGCTTGCTATCCAGGCTCTTGGCTACTGTATCCCTCTAATCACTGGAAATGAAATTCTTTTCAGATGGAAGGTGCTGCAATCTAACAGCTTCAGATCAGACAATTTCAACAAGTTTCAACGGTTTGATGTACTTGAAAGCTTGGCCAAGTTCCTTTTGTTGTTGAAGAAAATAGAAGCTGAGTTTTCCAGGTAAATCAATGGAAACAGTAGCTTACTAAAGCAGAGAAGAAGACGAAGCAAAGAAACATTCAGAGCAGCAGAACAAAATTTGGCCAAAAACAAAGATTTCATTTCTCTTCCAGTATTTATACTCTGACGATTCAAACGTTTCCTAATGAACCGGATCGAATAACAAATTTCACACTAACCAATGAATAGCTCAACGCTAAAATGTAACAGACAAAACCATGGCTCTTAAGTCTTGAAACAGAAAATGGAAAGTAGGCTAGAGACTCAAGTAAACTAAACCAAACGACATGAGCAACATCGTTTTGTATACGACAGACTTAAAAGAACAGAAGAATAAAACGACTCGTTTTGAAAACTCAGCCTATCCAGTCAAGAAACGCCATCGTTTCTTCACCTTCAAAGCTTAAGCTTCCCGTTTGTTCTTCAAACACCTTCATTACCAGATTGTGAATTACCTTTCAACAGTTAGTTGCAATGTTTCTTACTATAAGACTCTCACAGATAGTATTCAAATCTTGCATCAAACAAAAAGTTCGAATCCATAGAGAGATGAAGATTCTAGTGATTATCTTAGTTGTTCACATGACGGGTTTTCTTCTCAGACATTTTTCTATTACAAGTTTTGGCGAAGCACTGCCTATTCCTAGAAAATATTCTTATGTGAAAGGTAACACCAAGATTCAAGATTTGTTGTTGCTTCCTCAGATTATCTGTAACACTTTGTGGCCAGTTAAAGGTAAACCTCTGAGGAAATTTTATTATACCGGCTTCACAACGTTGAGAATGGTGTTGCATGCTTATGACTACATAAGAGATACTCTTCCTGATAAAGACTATAACTACAGTGAGCATCATTATCGTAATACAAGGTTGGGGATTCATTCTAAGATCAGAAATATTACTGCAGCAATCGTTGTAATTATGGTTGCTGTAATACTACACATCCAGCAGTGATATGACCATGGAAAACTTAGCCAGAAAGTGAAGCCAAAGGAAACATAGGAATCAATTCCCAATCTCAAAGTACGTTAGAAGCAGGCTAGTGTTTAGCTTTTACTTTTGATCACTCTGTTGGTAGTTTTTTCTGCTATGTTTTACAACTGCTGCTCATCATTTTAAGCTGTCTTTTGCCTACATTAGTTCAATGAGTTTTAACACTCCTATCTATTCATTATATAAAATATAGTTTTTGCTTGTTTCAGAGTTGTCATTTTCAAGCAAATTCCATTGCTCAATAAATACCATAAAAAACTAAGAAGTCTCAAAATATGTTGGGGAAAAAAACTCAGCTACGAATCACAAATCTAATGGTTCCCCGGGAGTCGAACTCGGGTCTATTGCATGGAGGGCAATTATCCTAATCGCTGTTTTGATTGGCATCTCTATTCAGTTATCTTTCCAATCGGACACGTGAATCTAGCTAGCAAATCTTTGGCTTATGACATTCTCGGATGTAAGCTTTGGAAGGTTGTAATAAATGAATAAAGCAGGGAGGTGAATAAGTCTGCCTAGCTCTCACTCTATATATGACCTTTACTTCAACTTAAATTATAGTACTATTTTTTTCAAAATCATTTTGGGAAAAACCTGGTGTTTACATATGAAGCTGCGGCCAACATGAAACATAGATAATCATATTGCTTAATCTATTGCCTAGATGTATGAAATGTATCACAAAATTTTCTTCTTTTAATGTTCTGATAGTAACTTTACCTTATGTGGTTTCAGTAAATAACAAATACTGCCAGTAAATTTGTATGAGATATTAATCTGTGTTAAATAAATACTATAACACAACTTTAATCATTTGAAGAAGTAAAAATGATTTTGATTTATGACAGATTAATTTTGTTAGCACAATCAGGATGGAAACAAACAAAGTAAAGAAACTTGCCAAAGAAGGCTAATACAAAGGATATATACTCCACTTCCACAATCTAAGAGCATCCAAAACTTAATGCATATACAACATAAAATCCGATTTGTAATTAAATGCAGATATTGTTGGCTTCAACCAAAACAAGCCCAGAATCTCCACACAATCTTCTTTGACTCCTTTTTTTTTTCCTGCTCTTTCACACCTCTTAAAAACTTAATAAATCGTACGGGTGGAGAAAAGGAACAAAAACTAACTTGTAAACGTGAGAGTGAGGACTTTGCGCTTGGTGGTTTTCCAGTGCACTGTGAGAGATATAGATATGTCAATGGAACTTGGACATTATAGGACACGTTCAAACGTGCCTAGCACGAGCAGAATGAAAGAAGAAGATGATGAAGAAGCTCTGAAATGGGCTTCTCTGGAGCGACTTCCTACGTATGAACGTGCCAGGAAAGGTGTTTTGCATGGGATTTTGGGTGACTTCAAAGAGATTGATCTTCGTGACCTTGGGTTTCAAGAGAGGAAAGATTTGTTAGACAAGTTCATGAAGAATGCAGATAAAAATGAAGAGTACTTGAAGAAGCTCAAAGCAAGAATTGACAGGTGATCATGACTCTTTCCTTACTATGGCTTAAACATCCTCCTTTCATTTTTTTTTTCCTGGGTTTTTCATTACTGCTATTTGCATGGAACTATTCAATGATTTCTCATTTTATTCAAAAAGAAGTTCTACAAGATTGCTGGTCTCACTGGTAGGAAGTTTATAGTTTTTTGATTGAAAAGCTTGGTCACCTTCACAATAATTAGTGCTTAATTGGATAAATTAGAGTTTCTTTGAATCTGCCAACAATTGAAGTTCGATTCGAGAATATCAATGTGCAAGGAGAAGCCTATGTTGGTAGCAGGGCTTTACCAACTATCTTCAACTCAATTTTCAATGCTATAGAGGTATGTATATCCATCCTTTTGTCGCTTTTCTCCAGAGATTAGTATTTAAATATATATTTCTCATTTGGCTCCCTAAAAGTTCTCTTTTATCTTCAATATTATCAACATATTCATATTTGTAGAACAACTATATATATATATAACATATATATCATATATTTGTCACTAGTGATATTTGAAGGGAAAAATTTATGGATTTTACATGTTCAGGGTGTAGGCAATTACCTTCATATTCTGTCAAGTCAAAAAAAAAAGTTCTCAATTCTACGAGATTTGAGCGGAATCATCAAGCCAGGGAGGTAAAGAGACATGTAGGAAGAACATTTCTTTTGCCCAATGAAATTTGTAGCTCCAAGAAAGTTGATATAAGAAACGTTTTTCCAGATTGACTCTGCTTTTAGGCCCCCCAGGTTCAGGAAAAACCACCCTACTACAAGCATTGACTGGAAAATTTGATTCAGATGTAAAGGTAACTGCTACATCTTATTGCTGAGCCAAAAAAAAAACTGCTGCATCTTATTCCTCAATGACTTAGAAGCATTATATTTTCAAAATTCATTGATTCTGAGTGTTTATTGAATTACAGTTTTCTGGGAAAGTAACATATAATGGTCATGAAATGCATGAGTTTGTACCCCAGAGGACCTCTGCTTATATTAGCCAGTATGATATCCACATACCACAATTGACCGTTAGAGAAACATTGGAATTCTCTGCAAAATGTCAAGGAGTCGGAACTGGTTATGGTAAGTTGAAACATGAAAGAATTTTAGTGTGTCAAGTACTAACAAGCAATATTTCCATGGAATTATAGCCTAAAACTCTTTCATTCGGGTGGTTCTGTTGGTAATTTTCAGAGATGCTTACAGAGCTCTTGAGAAGAGAGAAAGAGTTAAACATTAGGCCAGATCCTTATATTGATGCCTTGATGAAGGTAAAAAAATAAGAAATCTGTAAAGTTTATCACTTAAGTATGCATCTGTTCAAGGTAAAGACTTGGTCGAAACGCTTTGCTGCAGGCATCAGTTCTGGAAGGACATAAGGAAGAAATTGTTACAGACTATGTTCTCAAGGTAGTACTGGGGGCTTTCTTTATAATCATGACCAATTTTGTTCATTAAAGAATTGCTGACTTTTCCTTTTACCTTCCGGTCAAATGCTGTGTGTTACAGATTTTAGGACTGGAAGTTTGTGCTGACACCATAGTAGGAGATGCAATGATGAGAGGCGTTTCTGGAGGGCAGAAGAAACGTGTTACTACAGGTAGAATGACAATGAAATTGCAATAGAGCAAAAAAGGAAGTGCCGTCTAAAAACTGCTAAATATCAATTTCAGAATAATTCAACTTTATGACTTGAATTTATGCCAGGGGAGATGCTGGTCGGGCCTGTGGGTGCACTTTTTATGGACAATATATCAACTGGTCTAGACAGTTCCACCACTTATCAAATAGTCAACTCGATCAAGCAATCAATCCACATTTTCAACAAGACTGCTATGATCTCTCTTCTCCAGCCTCCACCAGAAACTTTTGAGCTTTTTGACGACATTATCCTTGTCTCAGAGGGGCGAATTGTGTATCAGGGCCCCCGTGAATATGTTCTTGAGTTCTTTGAATCCATGGGATTTAAATGTCCAGAGAGAAAAGGCATTGCAGACTACCTACAGGAAGTAAGCACATCAAAACAATTCCATATTTATTCTACGACGTTAAAAAATACGACTATATCGCATACCAAAGTTTTCAATAATTAAATAATCCAGAATTCAGTCTATTGAATTTTAAAGCAATCCATTTTTCCTGTGATCTCTTCAATATATAGGTTACATCAAGAAAGGATCAGAGACAATATTGGTTTCATAAAGAATTACCATATCGCTTTATATCAGTCAATGAGTTTGCAGAAGCCTTCAACTCATTTCACATTGGAATAGCCATCCGGCACCAGCTTGCCAATCCATTTGACAGGTCAAAGAGTCATCCTGCAGCTTTGACAAAAACCAGATATGGAGCTAGCAAAAAAGAATTGATGAAAGCCTGTTTATCAAGAGAAGTTATTTTGATGAAAAGAAATGCATTCTTGCATGTATTCAAGATATTTCAGGTGAGTAGCATTGTTCTTTTTCAACCATTCTAAAAAAGAATGTTTACACCTGAATTCATAACTTTTATCTTTTCTTCCAGCTTGAACTTAGTGCGGTCATTGTTGCTACTGTCTTTGTGCAAGCTAGAAAGCATCACAGTACAATTGAAGATGGAACAGTCTACCTAGGCGCTCTCTTTTTTGTGCTTAACACAATTACCTTCACTGGATTTTTTGAGCTTCCTTTGACCATCGATAAGCTTCCAATATTTTACAAGCAAAGAGACCTCCTCTTTTACCCTTCATGGGCATTCTCATTACCAACATCAATTCTTGGCATTCCTATATCAATATTTGAAGTTGCTCTTTGGGTTGCCATAACTTACTATGTAATAGGATTTGATCCCAACGTTACAAGGCCGGTATCAAAGAACAAGTTACAATATATTACTTTAGTTTTTCTTCTTGTATTCGCTCTGCTAACCCTCCTTGATTTTCTTGCTTCAGGATGCTCAAACAATATCTTGTTCTTGTAATGAGTGGACAGATGTCTTATGTACTTTTTAGATGCATTGCTGCATTGGCTAGAGATCATACAGTTGCCAACACGACTGGATGCCTTGCAGTGATGTGGCTTTTAATGTTTAGTGGATTTATCTTATCAAGAGGTATTCTCAGGCCTCAGATTTTCCCGTGTGATATATGAAATATTAAGAAGCATAGTTGTATAGCAACCTAGCATCACTAATATGCTCCTTTATTCTCACAGAGAATATGCAGAAATGGCTGATCTGGGGCTATTGGGCATCTCCTCTGATGTATGTGCAAACTGCAATTTCAGTAAATGAATTCCTTGGTGGAGCCTGGAATCAAGTAAGTATCCTACATAAAAGGAGGGAAAAGACAAGTTTAGTGGACCTTGCTTCTGTCGTAGTTTGAACTTGAAAGCATCTAAGTTTGAATGTGGAAATGAATGCAGGCTCTTAATGGAACAAAGGAGTCTCTGGGAATGGCAGTCTTGAAAGCTCGCGGGGTGTTCACCAGTGCTATTTGGTATTGGATTGGTCTTATTGCATTGGTTGGATTTATATTCCTTTTTAATGGGATCTGTACTCTTGCTTTTGCTTACCTTGACCGTAAGTGCTCTCACTTTCAACTATTAATACTTCACTCTAACCCTATGCTGTTTTCAGCAACATTTTTCCCAGATATAACTGTTTTGAGTTCCTGCAGAATATGGGAAATCCCAGGCAGTGTTTTTGTCTGAAGAATCTGCTAAAGAGGACACTATTAGGACAGGTGAAGGGGAGGGCAATGAAATATTATTAGACAAAAATAACTCCAAGACTAAGAGAGCATCGAGAAGTAAGCCCACTGAGCTCTCATTATCTGTATTGCCTCACTGACAAGTACCGAACATAATCACTGAAAATGCATGAACTTGCAGGAGCTGTGGCTGTTTGCAATTATCAAGAGAGAGGAATGCTTCTTCCTTTCATTCCGCTAGCTGTTACCTTTGAGAATATCACATACTCAGTTGATATGCCAAAGGTAACTGTAATTCTAAATTAACTATATCTACATAAAATGCTTGAGATATTCTGAATTCATCACAGTGACATTAAAGGTATTATTTTTAACATTTTTAGGCAATGAAATCCCAAGGTGTCTTGGATGATCGATTGGTACTTTTGAAGGGAGTGAATGGAGCCTTTAGACCAGGAGTGTTAACAGCCTTAATGGGTGTTAGTGGGGCTGGTAAGACCACTCTACTGGATGTGTTAGCTGGGAGGAAAAATAATGGATATATAGAAGGGAACATCACTGTTTCAGGCTACCCAAAGAAACAGGATACTTTTGCTCGAGTTACAGGATACTGTGAACAAAATGACATTCACTCTCCCCTTGTCACTGTCTATGAATCCTTATTATACTCAGCATGGCTTGGATTGCCTCGTGATATTGATACTCAGAGTAGAGAGGTTGGTGGTCCACCCAATAATAGCCTTGCCGTGCATCTATTTTATTTCTTTAATTTCTTTGAAATCTTATGGTTGCAGCTTTTTGTTGAGGAGGTTATGGAACTGATTGAGCTGATACCACTACGAAATGCATTGGTTGGATTTCCAAATGTGAATGGACTATCCATTGAGCAGCGCAAAAGGCTAACCATCGCAGTTGAGCTTGTTGCAAACCCCTCAATAATCTTCATGGATGAGCCAACCTCAGGTCTTGATGCAAGAGCAGCAGCCATTGTGATGAGAACCGTGAGAAATACAGTGGACACAGGAAGAACTGTAGTATGCACAATTCACCAGCCAAGTATTGACATATTTGAATCATTTGATGAGGTAAGAGACTTTAGCAAACTAATCGTTATGTCGTTGGAGCAATCTTTGCTGCATAGAAATCTCAAATGTCTTCTCTTTCCAACTATAGCTCTTCCTATTGACGCGTGGAGGTGAAGAAATATATTTTGGTCCTCTAGGCCGTCACTCAGGCCATTTGATAAAGTATTTTGAGGTAATCTAAAAATGTTCAAGTTGTTTCATTTACCACTGTTGCTTCACATGTCTTCAAACTTTTATCAGGAGAAACTTCATTTGACTTCTCTTCTTTAACTACTCCAATTGAAGGAAATAAATGGAGTAGGGAAAATAAAAGATGGTTGTAACCCCGCAACTTGGGTCTTGGAAGTGACAACACGAGCTAAGGAAGAGATTCTAGGAGTACAATTTGCAGACGAGTACAAGAAATCAGATCTCTACAGGTTGGTTATCCGAGAAATATTGGTGCAGTTTCTTTCATCCAAAAAATGTCGTTACTAGCCTTTGCTGCTTCTTAGACTCATACTCAAAACTGTTATTGCAGAAGAAACAAGGCTTTGATTTCAGAGTTGAGCACACCCCCCCCTGATTCGCAGGATCTACATTTCCCCACTAAGTATGCACAATCCTACTTCACACAGTTCAAAGCTTGCTTATGGAAACAGCACAAATCATACTGGCGGAATACGCCTTACAATGCAGTGCGACTTTATTTTAGTACTGCGGTGAGCATTATGTTTGGAGTCTTGTTCTGGAATCTTGGAAGTAAAAGGTATGTTGTTTAGGCAGAATCTACAAAAAAGCTGGATTCAGTTTTTCTTTGTTCAATTCAATTATAAATTTGAACCTTCAGGGGAACAAGACAGGATGTTTTCAATGCAATGGGTGCCATGTACACTGCAATTACATTCATGGGAGCACAGAGTGCTGCTTCTGTGCGACCAGTTGTAATAGCTGAAAGAACAGTTTTTTACAGAGAGAGGGGTGCTGGAATGTACTCTGCATTGCCTTATGCCTTTGCACAGGTAGTTCAACAAAATCTAACCGGCTACCATTGCTTTGCCTCCTGACTTTCTTATCTTGAATTTCCCATTTCAGGTTGCTATTGAAATCCCTTATACCATGGCTCAGGTTGCTGTATATGGGGTTGTAGTCTACGCAATGATGGGATTTGAATGGACAGTTTCCAAGTTCTTCTTAAACACGTTCTTCATGTTCATCACAGTTCTCTGCTACATATACTATGGCATCATGGTCGTAGCTATAAGTCCTAATCAAGCAGCTGCCGCGGTTCTTTCAGGGGTCTTCTATACAATGTGGAATCTCTTCTCAGGCTTTATAATTCCCCGACCGGTAACCCTTATTCCACCCCTTTCTTCTATTATTTTTGCTAGCATTTTCTTCAGTTTATATGATTTCTAGGATTTTACAATTGTCAGAGGATCATTGCATGGTGGAGATGGTATGCATGGGTGTGCCCAGTGTCATGGAGTTTGTGGGGAATGTCTACTTCACAGTATGGAAACTTACAGACCAAGTTAGAGTCAGGAGAGACAGTGGCTCAGTTAATGGAAGACTACTTTGGGTTCAGACGAGACTGGTTATGGATAGTTTCTCTGGTACTAATAGGGTTCACTTTGCTGTTTGCTTGTGTATTTGCTTTCTCCATGAAATTCTTGATCTTCCAAAAGAGATGACAATTTTGTTTTCCTGGAGTACACTATGGTAGAAACTCTATTTCTTTTACTAGTTCCCGTTACTTTCCCCTACCAACAATGGTGTAATTGAGTCATATGAAAAGGATGTGCAACCAAGTAGCTTATATTGAAAAAAATGATTGATGAGTATTAATTTATTACTGAAACTGATTACTATATATTTATATCTATAAAGGGTTTTGCTTATGAATGTTTAAGGATACTCTTTAATGTTGCTATATTAAAATTCATTACCTAAATACCAACTATTACATTTAATGGAAAAATATTTCTATAAATAATACATTAACTACTTTAAAGAGTGGGTTTAAGATTAAGACACTAGTTAGCAAAATTTATTTTTAATTTCCAATTATATAGGTTCATGACAAATTGATTTGTCTCTATACGGTGATACTTATGGATCAAATTCCTCAAAGAAGTGCTTTACTTAAAAAGGTTAAATTGGTTTTTTGTAAAGAAAAAAAAACAATGGTATAGCTTTTTCTTTAACAAATGGGTTATTTATAAAGGCTTGACCCTGTGTTGGAATACGAGTCTCAGGAAAATTGGAGTGGAAATTGATTCTTTGCTAGTTTTTAAAAAAATATTATTTATTTTTTATATTAATTCAAATGTTCAATTCTTAAAAGAGACAAAAGAGTTACTTTAAGATAATTGAAATATTATATTTTTTTATATAATTAGTGCACCAATTAAATGACTACACATATAGATAATCTAAACTTAAATTTACATATTTTTTATTCTCCTCCATATGTACATTGGTTTTGTTTATTTGCATACAATTTAGCATATTATAACGTAGGATGAAGTAATAAGTTTCCCTTATCTATGTATATATATAAAGGTTAAATTGGGCCCCGTTAGAGTGGTGGGTCCAAGACTGAATTCTATCACAATTTTGCTGGATAAACTAAACTTATCTTTTCTTTTCTTTTCTTTTTCATTTTCTGAAACGAAAGGGTCGTTAGTTTCCAATGACGAGACCACCCTTCCCGCTTTCCCTGAGAAGAACCATATCCTCCTCTCTGCTTCTGTACTTCATGCATGGCCTGCTTTCCTTTTACAACCCCACAACTCTCCCAGTTCAGATCAACAAAAACAACCAAATTTCTCAGTTCCAATGAACCAATCCATTTTACAGAATTCAATGGAACCACCAGAAATCATCAAACTTTGTATAAATCTTACTTTCACTCCATATCTTCCCTTTGCAAAGATGGCCAAATTCAACAAGCTGTGGACTTACTCACTGAAATGGACTCAAAAAATTTTCCAGTTGGACCTGAAATATACGGTGAAATACTCCAGTGTTGCGTTTATGAACGAGATCTTTTTACAGGTCAGCAAATTCATGCTCAAGTTCTCAAAAATGGTGCCTTCTTTGCAAGAAATGAGTACATTGAGACAAAGTTAGTTATTTTTTATGCCAAGTGTGGTGCTTTCGATGTTGCTAATAATTTGTTTAGTAGATTGAGGGTAAAGAATGTGTTTTCTTGGGCTGCTGTTATAGGATTGAAGTGTAGGTTTGGGTTAAATGAAGAGGCTTTAATGGCGTTTTCTGAGATGCAAGAAAATGGGTTTTTTCCAGATAATTTTGTGGTTCCTAATGCATTGAAAGCTTGTGGTGCTTTGCAGTGGCTTGGGTACGGGAAAGGGGTTCACGGGTATGTCGTGAAGGTGGGTTTTGATGGGTGTGTCTTTGTTGCAAGTAGTTTGATTGATATGTATGGCAAGTGTGGTGTTTTGGAGGATGCAAGGAAAGTCTTTGATGGGATGGTTGAGAGGAATGTAATAGCTTGGAATTCGATGATCGTTGGTTATATGCAAAATGGGAGGAATGAGGAAGCAATTGGGGTGTTCTGTGATATGAGAATGGAAGGAGTTGAGCCCACTCGGGTATCCATATCAAGCTTTTTATCAGCTTCGGCAAATTTAGGTGCAATAGATGAGGGAAAGCAGGGGCATGCAATTGCTGTCTTAGGTGGATTAGAATTGGATAACATTTTGGGTAGTTCTGTTATAAACTTTTATTCCAAGCTTGGTTTGATTGAGGATGCGGAGCTTGTTTTTGTTAGAATGCTCGTGAGGGATGTAGTGACATGGAATCTGATGATTTCAAGTTATGTGCAATGCGGATTGATTGAGAAGGCGCTCAATATGTGCCATCTGATGAGATTAGAAAATTTGAGATTTGACTGTGTGACTCTATCATCAATATTGACTGCAGCTGCCAATTCAAGCAGTATAGAAATTGGTAAAGAGGGTCACTGTTATTGTATTCGGAACAACCTTCAATCTGATGTTGTTGTTGCAAGTAGCATCGTAGATATGTATGCCAAATGTGGAAGAATTGATTGTGCCAGACAAGTATTTAGTTCTACAACTAACAAAGATATCATATTATGGAATACACTATTGGCTTCTTATGCAGATATTGGCCACGGTGGTGAGGCCTTGAAGTTGTTTTATCAGATGCAGTTAGAGAGTGTGCCACCAAATGTAACATCATGGAATTCTCTGATTTTAGGATTTATTAGGAATCACCAGTTAAACGAGGCTAAAGAGTTATTCTCGCAGATGCAATCCCTTGGTGTCCACCCTAACCTTATAACTTGGACTACGCTTATCACTGGTCTGGCTCATAATGGTTTTCAAGATGAGGCAGTTCAGATTTTTCAAAAAATGCAAGAATCTGGGATCAAACCCAATACAATAAGCATCAGTAGTGTACTCTCAGCTTGCACAAATGTGACATCATTACCGCATGGTCGAGCAATCCATGGATATGCTATAAGGCATGACCTTGGTTCACAGATTTCAGTTTCAACAGCTTTAGTTGACATGTATGCTAAATGTGGATATTTAAGTCAAGCAAAGAGGGTGTTTGATAATACCTTAAGCAAGGAATTGCCTGTTTATAATGCAATGATTTCTGGTTATGCATTACATGGTCAAGCTGGAGAAGCTCTTGCAGTGTATAAACATCTAGAGGAGGCTGGTATAGAACCAGATGGCATAACTTTTACTACTGTCTTATCTGCATGCAGCCACAATGGGCTGATAAATGAAGGTTTGGAGATTTTTTTTGATATAGTTTCTAAACATCATTTCAGGCCAAGCATGGAGCATTATGGCTGTGTAGTTAGTCTTCTTTCTCGGTCTGGTAATTTGGATGAAGCTATTAGGCTTATTCACGCAATGCCATATGAACCAGATGCATATATAATTGGATCACTGCTTGCTACATGCAGAGAGCATAATGAGATTGAACTTGGGGAGCACCTGGCAAAGTATTTATTAGAATTGGAACCAGATAATTCAGGTAATTATGTGGCAATTTCAAATGCATATGCGGCTTCAGGAAGGTGGGATAAAGTAATAAAAATAAGGGATTTAATGAAAGAAAAAGGCTTAAAGAAGAGTCCTGGGTGCAGCTGGATACAAATAGGTGAGAAACTTCATCCCTTTTTTGCTGGTGATGGATCACACCCCAAGACCAAGCAAATACATGCTACACTGGCTTTATTGGGAATCGAAATGAATTTTAGTGCTTAAACTCTGTTCTTGAGCACAAATCACATTAGTAGGTAAAAATTAAGCACCCCAAGGAGACTAGAGAGACCGTCAGGTTAAGCAAAGAAAAGCAAAGAACCAAGGGGCAGTATTTTTGCTTCACAGAAAGAATTGTGCAGAATTTTCAGCCTGGACTGTTTCATTGAAGAGTTGATGAGGATTTATCTGAATTACCTGACTCGATAAGCTGTTAGCAGCTTCGAGTCAGCCACATTAAATATGTTGAAAGGATGGAGAATACACCCTGACTCAGCTCAATCTGGATTGCTACTTGCACAATATGCAATGTGGTTCGATCTGTCCATACTTAGCAAAACAAAGTACATTGAATAATATAGCTGCTCAGCAGCTATGCTTCCTCAGTTTCTGGGATTCCAAACAAAAAATTTTTACCGGTTTCATGCCATTGGGCAGGATTATTGCAATTTCAGAGAACATCATCATGGTTTTAGATACTATTCACATCTGCATTTGTGTAGTTGAGGATCTTGGGTTTAAGCCTTTTTGCTGGTATAACCAGGTCATTTAATGTGTAAATATTGTAATACATCCAAACTTTCAATCTAAAAGGGATTCATGTACATCTTAAGACTACAGAATTGATATATGACAGCTCTTGGACATTTCCTCCCTAAACTCGAACTTTCCATTGTTCTCTTTAACAAGCATATATATGCATGGTGTAAATAGATATATTAATAAGCCATTCAAGCTATTTTCTTCATGTTTTTCCAGTTCTTTCGAATGAACCCTTACTCTCCATGTACAAGGGAGATACAATCTATCAACTTTTTCTCAGAAAACTGGAGTGCTTTGTCCTAGTGGTCGTCAATTTAACATGGACTTAGATGTGAGGTGGCAGTCTCACCGGTAGCTTGAGGCTTCTCGGGCCGCTACAGTACGTAACTAGATGGCCACATGGAAGGTATCTAAGAAAGCAGAAGCTCGAACTTTCAGTACTATCTTTATCAAAGAAAAAAAGGTTAACAATCTGTTTACACCTTTTCCAGGTATCCAAAGAAGGGTATTTTCTCCTTTCTTTCCAGCACCAGCTTCGGTTGGTTTTACTTGTTCGCTCACGTGCAGAAGCGTAATATCCTGCAAGACTATTGCTGGGGACCAATCATCCTGTGGTCGTGATCGTTCGTCATGAAGAAGAGCATGCTCAGCTTCAAACAGCTCAATCAAAAAGATCCAAATTCAATAAAAAACATGAAGACGAATTCATTCAATGGTTTAGACTGTTGCTTGCGCTGTATATTAATGGGCATTATTTTGACACTTTAATTAAAATTACTGACACCAACTTCTTTCTAGAAATTTATTTTTTAGCGGGCCAGAATCCTAAGCTCGTAGCACCTGAGGGTAAACTTATTTTTCCAGGCCTGCAGCCTCCCATGGTGAAGGAGGTGAGACAGCACGTGAAGGAAAAAGGCAAAACTTTTGCTTCAGCAAGCCACCATCAAGCAGTTCACCTTGTTTCATGGGCAAGCTAAGTCCACAAAGATTGATAGCTATCATTCAAAGAGAAGTTGCTTTCACAAGTCATCACATCAAAGTAAAGCTTATGTTCCATAAAGAAATTAACAATTATTAAAATTTTGGACTTTAAGATTTATTATGAGATTTTATAGTATATATTAACTTGTTTGAAGGAAGATTGTTCTGCAACCACCCTCTTAATTGAGTACCTCACCTTATTATAATTGTTCAATAAATCCATTACTTTCGATGTGATTTAAATGAATTGGCATCAAATCCAATATGAGGCCGCTCAGGTTGGTGAGATTTCAATGCTAATGAATGACATTTGTGAGGATCTGAGGGATAAGGAAGAAACCTTGGGAGTTTAAGTCATCTTGGCTGATCCAACTAACAGCAAAAAGGAGTTTTGGGATTTAAATTCCATGTTTGAGATGATTTTTGGTTGGAATTCCCATACAAGTTAAATGGCTAGCCAACTCCACTTTCAAAGGTTAGCTTTTTGCCCTTGTGACTTGCATTTTCCTTTTGAGGACTACTGCCAACTGCAACTGTGGTAAGCTTATAATATGTGATATGGATTCAAAAATGAACTTAGAAGGCAAGAAATTGCTTTGGCTTGACCTTTAAGATAATTATTAAATATGCATTATTTATCAGCCAAACTGCAACCTGTCTGTTGGCTTTTTTCCCTATTTGGTCGATGAGCATGAAGACCAGCTTGATTAAACCCTGTAAACAATTAGGCGGCATCTTTCTTAGCCCACTAAAAACCCTCGTGTTGAATTGATTATTAGATAGAGACACGTGTAAGAAAACACTTGAATGTACGATGTGCCTATATCATGTTAAATTAAGACCAAGACCTGTCCACTTAGCCAAGTTAAAGGCACCTTAAAAGAACATAATGGGGCCTCATGAATAGGGTAAAGTTTAGGTGAACTGTGTTCCTGGAAAAAGAAAAAGAAATAAAAGATTAGGTCAACCGGATACTCATCATGGTAAAATAAAGCTAGCTATGGCCTGTAGCTGTTAAATTAAGTGAGCTGTAGTGGATAAATTACAGTACTGATGCTGTAAATCTGCATTGAAGAATGAAGAATCCAATGATAGAAAAAAAAGGCTTATATCTCTGCTACTGTTATTACTTTCTTATGACAAAAAGTAATCCTTATAGAAACCCAAAACTCACGTTTTGCTTCAGCTGGAACTTTTTTACTATCAGATAAACTCCATAAGTGAGATGACTTTGGTTTATAGGTCTAACATTGAGATTGGTTGTATGTATGTTGATATCAACCAGGGACCACAGAACAATTGATGTAAGGTGTCAATGGACTAAGGTGCTATATCTCCTTTCCTCCAAATGGTTGTAACACCCTCAGCTTTCTCAGTGTCTCCAATCATTCCCAAAATCCTCTTTCTCTAAAATGTCACTACCTGATGATAATCATGCTATTTCTCCATGATTCCTCTCCCTTGCATCTAAAGAGGTGATGTGAGAGATTTTGTTGATTATGAGTGGGCCATTTGGTCTTCCCAGCAAAAGAAATATTAGGAAAATAAATACATAATTTGATACGTGAAGCCATCTAGCCTTGCATCTTTTGTAAATGATCTGTCGCCATAATCATTCATGGTTTTGTTTTATAATTGGTGTCCTTCGCTTCTTGACCCATGGACTCTCAACTACTACTACAACTCATACATTATCTCAAAACCTAATATTCTAAAAGGACTTTGAACTTAAGAATCTTCTGTCCCTCTCTATCACAACTCTTAACCAAAAAAAGTGAACCGAGTAAAGGAATGTATGATGGGTTCTTCCAAGATGAAGCTTGTTATTGTTCTTACAACACATATGGCCCACGTGAAAGGTTGTTATTGTTCTTTGATTAATCTCATTATGTTTTATTGAGAATTTCCAGTTGTTTCTTTTATGTACATCGCATGGCTCGGAGGATAGAGGGTCGTTAAGTTGTGAAATGAAATGGAAAAGACAGCCTCGTTCAGGATTAATTAAGACTAATCAAAGATTAGGTCAAACTTTAAAACCAGACAACCTGGTGGAGGGGGGGTTATATTTTTGCCTCTGCTCAATGACCGTCCGCCAAAGGGCAAAGGCATTCTATTTCTCAACTCAAGAGTCAATTTTGAGTCCGACCAAAAGTGTTGCTACCCTCAACTTTCGGTGCACCAAACTCCGAAAACTTGCTTTTCCCGTCGTGGCGCGTGCCCATGTTGCCCCTAAATAGCAATCACCTCTCAGTTTAGTACTACATACTCCGACATTATCTTAATAATTATTTTTAATTCCATGATCAAAAGTATTAGAATAGGTATATTGTACTAATTATATTTGTCAAAAGCCTATTTATAATCCCAGTAAATATCTTATAAATTTGATGAGAATTATTGATTATATAAATATACTAATTATTTAAAAAAAAAGTCAAATGTACTTTTTTCCTCAAATTCAATATAGATAATACAATAGCTACGTATCACGTTAATAAACACCGATTAATATTTCCTTTAAATATATGTCGACTTCAATAGAATTAAGCTGCTCATAAATAATTATGCTACGTTATTTAGCATCATTTAGTTTATTTTTAAATACTAATTTATTGTGACCATCCACACATTAGAGGTGGACATTAACCAACCGCAAGAGGTGGCGCGTTATGTGCACTTACGAATGAGATAGTAGCATTTGAGTGGAGATTTTTTCCACTACTGGGTGGCACAATATTCTGTGGACAACAAGAAGAATTTGTAGTTACATGCACGGCGTCACGCGGGACCGGGCCGGATACATGCATACATACATACAACCAAAAACTTATTTTAGACTCTGAAAAGCAATTATCGACGCGTTGATTTTCAAACCTAAAAGAGCCAAACCCCGTAGCTATTTTGACCATTGGCCTGCTCTGCTACACTTGCGTATTTTCCTTGTGGAAAAATATATATATATAGGCTCCCAAGCTATAACTTTCACGGTTTGAGTGGAACAAAAGGCCGATGTTGCATGCGAGAAAAGGGCAAAAGACGAAAAGGGACCCGAGAGTCAGTGGGGTCTAGAGTCAAGTGAATAAACGGTTACCAGCCTAGCCACGTCAAGGACATTGTTCAACGATTGTCAGAAGAAAATCTTACTATTTTGGTTTTCCTTTTCTCTAGAAAAGGAAAAGAAAGAGAGGTTAAAAAAGCCGGCCAGCCTGGCTCCCACCCTCGCTGCATTCTTTTTCTCTGGCTCCATAATCAGACAAAAATTCTACCCAGTGAAACATCAAATCTCTGATATCCCCCCTTAATCATCATCACGTGGTTCTAATCCGCCACGTGTCACATCTCTAGTCCACCGATTTCGGCCGGGCCGGTGTTGATTCCATCGTTGAATCTGGTTCGGATAGGATTACGTGGCATAATTATGAGGTTTATGACCAAAAACCAGGCTCCTATGTGGGGCATATGGGAAGGAGCCAATGCATGTTTGGTTTCTGCTTTGTACATTAGCTGACCTTTCAACTCTTAATTAAAAACAATCAATGAGCAGAAATAAAAACAAGCGTTTGGCGTTATAGATGCAGAAGGGAACAAGTGGTTGGAATTTTTTAAAAGGAAATATTCAACTCCCTAGTTGGCTTTCGCTTGGCCATTGCAATAAAAAGGATAAAAAAAATATTACAAAGAAAATTTACATGGAAAAGCGAAGAAGACATGTGTTAAGGACACGGTGGATTGTTTTGTTGTGAGGTACAGATACAAAGGAAAGAATTAAATAAAAAGAAAAACAACTAAATCCATCAATGGTCAAATTCCAATCAGTTCATGGAACTTCCCAGTCCCCACTACCACCACCCTCCATCAAAAACAATTCAAATTCCCCCCTAATGCACCCTATAAAATAATTGCAAAGTAAAATTAAGAGAAAAAAAATAAAACCAAGAAACGAAATAAATAAAAATAAATAAAGAGAAAACACAAATTAGGGGCAAACCTTGGTTGCTTTTCCCCCAATCAACTGCGCACTCTATCACTCTTTACTTACGCTTTGTGCAGATTTCAAGGAGAACCCAACCCCCACCCCCCATATACCGTCTTGTTGCTTTCCAATTTTCTGTCCTTGCTTCGTTCACATTATGCCTAAGGTGTGGCGGATCTCGGTGGGTCCTTGATTCGGTGGGAGGAGTTTGACCGTCTGATCCTTTTGAAGGATCATCTGACGACTGCCGTAATCCGTCATCGGTTTCCCCTCTGTTCATATCTTCAATCATTCGTACCAACGTCCTCCATGGCGGGTCTTTGATCAGGTACCGTCGATACGCAAGTCATTGCAATTTGCAACAGCTGCACCATTTCCTCCTCAATGCTGTGATATCTCATTAACTCCACGTCGAAAACCTCAGCGGTCCATTCCTCGCGGACCACGGATTGAACCCAACGAGGAAGATCAATCCCCTCTTCCCCTAACGATGCTTGATTTGGTGCTTTGCCAGTTAGTAACTCCAGCAATAACACTCCGAAGCTATACACGTCAGATTTGAACGTAACTTTGCGGGTTTCCACTACTTCAGGTGCTCGGTAGCCCGCCACGCGGCTAGGCGGGGTGGTGTTGCCGAAGAGCGGGTTGAGACCGAAGTCAGAGATGCAGGCTTCGTGGTCCGGCCGGAGGAGGATGTTGGAGGACTTGATGTTGCCGTGGACCACCTTCCCCGTCACGTGGAGGTGTGCTAAGCCCCTTGCCGCGCTTAACGCTATTCTCATTCTGTTGTCCCAGTCTAGAGGAGTACGGCCGGAGCCTCTACTACCTGCAACGTTATCAAATAACACGGTTTAATTAATAACTTTGAAGAAAAGTAATTTGCCAACTTAATGCTCCAATTTCATGGCTAGCGAAAATGTACCCAATGGCAAATGAGCTATACACCATGGTATCAAGTCATTTCCCTTAACTTTCTGACACGGGTACTAGTACTATATGCCAAAAATTTTGCAAAAGTCCAAGCTACCAAGAGAATTAATTAGGAAGTAGATATACTTTCCATTTTACTAATTTGACTTAGAATACTCCAAACCTCTTCAGGTTAAATGCAAACTCAAGAACCCTAACGCTGATATGATCCAACTGAGGTTAACTTGAATTGAAAGGAAAGGAAACTACTTGAAAAAAACAAGACACCAACAGGGTTTTGATTACACTGCAAAACGAGTTATGATTTCATTAGGAGGCGTGCAACAATCAATTTCACTCATTTTGAAACCTCATGAAACTAGATGGAATAATTTGATGGCTGCAGGGCGAGTTTGGTGAAGAAAGAAATGCAATGAATCAATGTCGGTGGATCCATAGGTGAATTATGAGATGCATGTTGCAATGATGGTGGCAGAAACGTAAATAAAGACAAAAAGACAGCCACTACTTTGTAAGCGTAACTCATACTCTTGGAAGAATGTTTGCTCAGAAAGAGGAATTATGCAGAGGAGTACCAGCCCCCGGTCCTTTCGCTGGTTATTAAATTAGAAGAAAGCTTCCATTATTAAATTCCATCACTTAAAAAAAATTAACATAATATTGTCCCCAACACCATTCCACGATATTCCCCTAAAACTATGTTATCACAACGTAAAATAAGGGAGGGGGGGAAGAACATACATGCAACAGCTGGAGCTCCACTGTAGTCAAAATGTGTTAGGTCATATTCAAAGCAAAATATCTTTGATTTTTGAACGCGAGATTTGCACGAATTATTGGCTCTTAGAAACCCAGAAAAGTCTCTTCCCAAAAAAAAAAATTAAAGAAAGAAAACCCAAAAAGTCAAATAAATAACTAAAACAGAGAAAAACATACCGTGAAGCAGGGCAGACAAGCTACCATCGCGCATGAAATCATAAACGAGCAATTTCTCATCTTTGGAGTAATAAAACGCTCTCAAAGGAACCACATTTTCATGCTTAAGTTTACCCAACATTTCCATCTGCATTTCGAACTCTCTTTTACTAACCGCCACGTCTTTTAACCGTTTAACTACCACCGTTGTCCCTTCTTCTAACACAGCCTTGTACGAGGTGCCCACACTGCCTTTTCCCAACACTTCCGCCGAAGCCCTCAACAAATCCTCCAAATCGAAACTATAAACCCCACCTTCAAAGAACACGAGCTTATTCCTCTCCCCTTCCGTTGACCCTCCCGTTATATCATCTTTCGACGAGGAAGTTCCCGCTTCCGCCGGCGGAACCGCCCGTGTCGCGGCCGTAACTGGCTTCTGCTGCTTCGGTGGCCGCCGTTGCCGTTTGCGGAGACAAAGAATAAGGAATAATAATAATAATAACGCGATGACTGCTGACCCCACGGCAATAGCAATAATGGCGCCGGTGGAAAGTTTTTTGGACCTTTTACGAGAAGTTGTTGGTGGAATGGGCTCGGAAGGAGATGGAGCCGGAGAAGGGAAAAATGGGTTACATGGCCGGAGTGGGCCACCGCAAAGCCCGAGGTTTCCGGCAAATGAAGATTCAGGGAATTTAGATAGCGTGTCGGGGATTGAACCGTTAAGGTTGTTATTAGAAACGTTAAAATCAACCAAACCGTCGGAGTTGATGCTTGGGAGAGAACCGGAAAATTTGTTGTTTTGCAAGAAGAGTCGGGTCAAAAGAGTCAAATTGTTGACCACGAAAGGAATTGGACCGGTGAAATTGTTAGAGGAAAGATCGAGCCGTGCCAAACGGGTAAATCGAGTCACACTGGATGGGAACTGACCGCTGAACTCATTACCTTGCAAATATAGGCTACGGAGGAGAGTCAAGTTGGAGAAGTCGGCAGGGATCTCACCGGATAAACGGTTTGCTCGGAGACTTAAAACTCGTAGTTGGTTTAGCCGGCCGATTGTGTTGGGCGGAATGGAACCGACGAGGCCCACACCTGGGAGCCGGAGAGTGTAGACAAAAGAGCGGTTTGCATCGCATTTGACACCGACCCAGTCGCAGGCTGAGGTTGATGAGTTCCACTGAATCCGGTTCGCGTGTTTGGTCTCTGAAAGGAACGCAAGGAGAGCTTGCTTGTCTTGAACTGGTTCTGAGTTTACTCCCAAACTTAATATCAGAACTGAAACTATAAAAACACAGCCAAATTTTACTACCATTTTGGGATTTTAGGAGAAAAACAAAACACAACAAAGAATGAGGAAAAAATGGTTCTTTTTCGCTCTACTTGGCTGTTATTTTGTAGGCAGCTTGTAAGAACGGGTTTGGACCGAACCAAAAGCGATTTTCCGGTGAGAACCCATAGAAGAAAGACAAATGACAGAGGGGGAGAGAGAGAGAGAGAGACAGAGATGGGGATGGAGGCTTCGAAGGTATCACGAGGTTACAAAAGGGGAAAAAAAAAGCTGAGTTAAAACAGAAGGAGAGGAGATCTCTGGCTTTGCTGGCAATAGTGGGCAGCGTTTTATTTCTATTTTCTTTATTTTGGTAAAGTGGAAAAGAAAAGATAGAAAGAAAAAAAAAACAACTAAACCAACGCTTTTCCATTTTTTCTTTTCTGTTTCCTGTTTTGCAGTCCTGAACGCGGTTGGAAGTCGCGTGCAGACCGTACAATTTTATGATGGCTACAGGTTTGGATTGCTGCATGTGAGAGTGAATATTAGGACTTTGGAGTGATGGAGGGGCGTGGGTCCCGGCTGTATCCACTTTGGCCTAAAGCGTCGCTTTTATGCATCAGCGCGTCAGCTGAATAAAGTGCATTCCACGCATCCGTAGAGCGTGGGGGATTTTTGTTTAGATATGTCTCTTTTGTTTTTCTTAGGGATGGCGAGACTTTCTCTCTCAAGAAACGCCCATGGCCCATGGGCTGGGAAAACTTTGATCCTATTGGGTAGGCCTGGCAAGCAAATAAATAAAAAAAAGCCTACCTGGCTGTCTCTCTGATTTATTACTATATTTTAACAGTTGGAGATTCATCAGACGTTTCCCAGATCTACTGATTTGGGTTTTATCACATGATGATGACACGGTTGGTGTAATTAATGGATAAGCTCTCAACCGCCTGATTGATGTAAAAATCATCATAGGAGCATTACCCCAAGTTTACCGAACTCGCCAGTTCCAGCTTAAAGGTTTGACCGGGGGAGTTAAGTGAAGGAGCCATCGGTGACATGTGGCAATAGCTTACAAGTGCCATGTGATTTTAGATACAGACTCGTACAGAGGGGCCTTGGCTGGCTAAGTTTAGCTAGGGATTGTTAGGGGCTAAGTTTAGTTTGCTCATCACTCAGACATGAAAAGAGGCAAGCAAGACATTTGGCATTTTTTCGTTTTGCATTGCATTCCGTTCCATTCCATCGCACCATTTTCTCGTACTGGCTAGAAACCTGCAGGATCCCGCTTTAGTATTATTCTTTATAAAGACTCGTTGATAGTTTGTAATGCACAAACAAAATCATTTCTCATCTTGTTACCATAATTCTTATTATTATAATTTACATTTAAAATTTTCAAATTTTAATAGTCGAGGTGCTTTATTGAATTTATATAAGTAATATATTTACGTCGATCATTAATGTCAACTACTTTTAATTCAGTAAATTTCACATAACTTATTTAAAATAAATAAAAGTTCATTAATTATAATTAAGCAGTTTATGTTACGAAGTACGCAAAACGCATAGTTTGAATTCCATTACCTTTGGAAACAATTTTTAATACCATCAGTTTATAACTATGACTTCCATTGATTTAATATCTTGCTTTTTTTTTAAGAATTGAAAAGTGCAGAATTTGAATTGTGTTACCATTTAACTTTTGGGCATGGATTTATTTATAAACTTCCCATCCATCTGGCTTTCCCCAATTAATCTTTTTTTATATATATATGTGCTTAATAATCTTTATTTCAGACTTACAAATATGGTAGCATCAATCAAATCCAGCACACTGAAAACAATAATGGCATCCGTAGGTAGAGAAAAGTTGAGCAGTGACGTACTGGTAGAAGGTGTGGGATCCTAAAGTAGAGGCTCCTCTCCTTTAGCATGTGCCACAGCATCATCATTCTTCTAACGGGAAAAATGTTGTAGGACACATTCCCAATAACCCATTTCCAATAAAAGAATTTGGATCAGTGGCTGCTGGTAAGCAAAGAGAACCACGGCCCCATTTTTATGCCCTTTTTTTTCCCAGTCAGGCTAAAATCAATCTGTTGAAATATGAAGTATTTTGTTCTGCTACAAGAGAAGGCATAAAAATAACCTCTCAGTTGATTCAAATATTTCAAAATTGGGATTTGCTTGAGTTTCAAATTGGAGGTGTCAGAATTCAAAAGCCTCAGTGGGAATGAGAGAAAAAAAGTCTTCTTCAATTTTAAATTTGTTTGAATACTATGCTCTCTGAAGACAAGGTACACCTATAAGCTAGTGCAAATTTTGAATTTCTATGACCAAATAAAAATGGAAAATGGGGTGCCTGATTCATGCTTGTTTCATCGTTGGGGATGTGAAGAGTTGAAGTGATTTAATATACTTTTATTTGTATTTTCATACACCAACCAGAGATAAAAAGCCATGTATAAAGGTCTTTTGCTTTTTGGGTAAAAGCTAACAAAGTGGAGAGCTGGACCATAGTGTCCTCAATTTTCCAAATTATATGCACAGATTTATACTTTCGTGCATGCATCTAGGTCCAAAGCAAACAATTTCCAACAAATGGCTTTGCATTTCGTAGATCAAGAAATGGCTTGCCGGATTTGTAGAATCCAAATGTCCTAGTCCTGACCAGTTGGCCATGGGAACCCTGAATATATAATGTAAAATAAGGGTATTGCTCCAGCTGCTACTCTATGGAGGAGTGCTCTTTTTACTCATTGTTTAACATTTAATTACAGCAAAAATAGAAAAAGAAAAATATTGTTCCTCCTAGCTGGAGTGTTTGCCGAATTCTTTCTAGCCCATACAAATATAACCTGTTGCGCCTGCTGCAAGCGTTAACAGGATTCTGGACCCTGTCAACCAATGATAATTGCCACAGCTGCTCTTCTCAGTGCTCTGCCACATCTGTCCCCACTTGTTTTCTTTCCCCTTCATTTCCTTTTCTTTATTTCTTTGTTTTAAATCTTCTTTTCTTAAGTTTAATGCCTTGTGCAAAGAGTGAAACTCCTCCCAGTTTTTCCTTTTCCTCCATCTCTTCCCAGCTCCATGAAGTAATGATCAAATTCAATGCCTAAAACATGGTCCCTACTCTCAATCATTCATCAGACAAAAATCTAATTATCATGTGGCTATAACAAACTGTAACTCAATTAAGCGTGTCCATTACCAACCCTGTCATCACTAAAATCTTAAGCACAACAACTTCAGTTCTTTTTCCCACATGATTGGGATTCAATCAACCTGTTAGAAAAATTGGAGTTTACACTTTACAACAAGAATTGGTTTGGGGATTTCAATGTAGGACGTTAGACATCAACAATTCTGCGCACATTATAAACTAATGATGTCCTGACATGACTTGCGCATCAAACATAATTGATCTTCCAAACTACTAGTCTACATTTCTTCTCTTCCCCTTCCTTGCTCACCAATCTTATTGTTCTTAATCAATAAACAAAAGATGTTGATGATCATATGATTATCTCTGACGTCTATCGATATTAATGAATATGATCATTTTTTTATTCGCAAATTAATCTGCAACTCTTCATAAATTTTTAAAGACGGGGCTTGCAATCTCAGACAGAGGGAAGAAAGGGAACAGGGTGAAGAGAAGAAACCAGAAGAAAGTTCACATTGACCACTCAAAAAAGAAGTAGTGGTGTTTTATTCCTAGACATTTTAAGGCCTAAGGGAACCAGAATTTGGAGTTGTTACTTTCAAGAAAAGAAACCCTGTTTGCCCACCAAGATATAGAGAAGCCAAATTCATTTTCAGATCAAATGACAATGGTGGAAGCAAATTTAAACTCCGTTTTTTATTTTACATACTTCAACTCTTTTGAGTATTGCAATATCAGTATGCAGCTTAATATAATGGAGAATTACTAAAGTTGTCGGCAATTCGGGTTATTTAATTATATTCACACAAAAAAATACTCATAAAATTAGTATTTTATTATAATTCATATCATGGATGAGTACTCAAACAAATGAAAATTGGACAAAATAGTAATATTCGAATTAATAACGTTCATAATATAATAATAGTGACTATTGTTGTCTTGGTGAAGATATAATAATTTTGTGACTCTTGATACATTTATATTTCTCCCTTTTTCTTTCTAATTATTAAATAAAGATAGTGATATTTTGGTTAGGACAGATAGGGACATTTGATTAGATATATTTTTCAAAGTTACTAATTCAGGTTTAACGTATGTAATTGTCTTTTTTCAATTTTTGGACAAGACTCTCCATAAAATATGTGTTGGATTTAATGCCAAAGCAGTCGTTATAACTAGAGGGGGGAAGAATGGTGTCACCTAACATTCTTTTAGTGCTCGTAAACATGGTATTACAGAGAAGTCATTTACAACCCCAACAGTAAACAGCCAAGTAAACCAATAGGCCCTTCCCTGTGCATGGTGCGGTGGATTCTGACAAAATGAATCAGCTCCACCACTACAATTGTTAGTTATAATTAAAAATCATCCAATACTATTATACTAACATAAAGCTTCAATAGTGCAGATTGAAATGAATGCTACCCAAAGTCATCAGACAAAACATCTCGAAGAGTATATCTGCAAATTCTGAGCATTTTACCAAAAGACTTGGTTTTATAAACTTATTTGTTTGTACGGTTGCAAAAACTTTCCTTTTGGATTGGCACATGGCTTCCTCTTGAATCTTGAGTTCTCGCTGTCAAGTAGCAGAAAACAGTTTCCACCTTCCTGCCATTGCTTGTGAAATTTTCCGGCGGAGCAATAAGCATCATGGCCTGATGGTGTAAAAGTCAGGAAACTGAGGCTGATCTCTTGTCATTCAACCCCTTTGCGTTTTTGGCCTAGCAAACATTTAAAGAAAGGTTTGGATAAGACTCTTTATATATATATATATATATAATGAGATTAAGGTTTGAAATTTAAGATTTCTGTTGGGAAACTATCCCTTGCCACTGGAGAGTCCAGATGACTTTCGGACTAAAGACTACTGCTTGAGTGGAGGAGCATAGAGAATTAGCACGTGCAGGTCGTACACTACAACGACCTTAATTAGCCGAAAACAGAACTGCCATATATAACAAGTCGAAATACGGGCATTTGTGTTAGTGTCATCATCCTTCCTTTTGGCCTTTACCATCTTGGAGCCATGTAACCTTGAGTTTCTACTTTCTAGCATTAGTCCCTCAATTTCTTTTCACTCTATCCATTGACGGACATTAGGCTCGACGTGTGGGTTGAGCATGGAAATCAATTGCAACATCAAATAACCTGTAGGGGTCCCCAGTTGAGCCCCGGCAAGGAGGTGGTAAGTCCTGGGCGCTGACCATCAATGTTTACTTTATACCTAGCTGGATCTTGCATATCCCGCATTTTATTTCCCAACTAAGCACGTGGGGACTTAGCCAATAGACCCATTGCTGTTTTGACGCTTTTAGCTCACCAAACAACTGTCTTTAAATGACCTTTGATTTTGTTTAGAAGGAACCCCAAATTGAGGTTGTAATGGTTTCACTCACTCAGCCCTAGCTAAACTTTGAAAAGCTGGACCCGATTCTCTTGCATTATATTTGGTCAGTGTTTTTATTAGCATTCATATATATATATGATGAAACCTTTTATACCATGCTTCCCCATTTTTAACCTGGTCCTATCTCTCAATTTTTTGTCAAGATCTTGCAACACAGTCTCCGGTAGGAAAAAGAAGGCTGCAGATGATCCTTAATGACCACTTAAGTTAGATTCAAATGACACACTATATAGTTCTTCTTTTTTAAGTAGTTTTGATATGGAAATAACATGGATATGAAAGGAGGGGGGCCTAAAATGGCATACCTATATGTTCACCTATATCAATGATTTAAAATTCCATTGGAAAGCTGGCAATCTCATTTTTCTTAATTTGTTACTTTCATGTTTTCCCTAAAAGAGGGCCAAAAAGTTATTGAAATGTCCATGGAATTACACATCGTACCTGGAAAATGTTCCTACCTTGTACTAATACGCACTGACAAACCGTTGCTACCTAGGATAAGCTAGGTTCCAAGCCAACGAATCCATCCGCTATTACTGCCAATGGCTTGAAACCAAATGCTAGAATGTGCTTAACATAGCTGGTGGGTGGTGATTACAACTTCAATTTTCAAAGGGGCTAAACTGACTTTGTTATAAGTCAGGATTACTGACGTTTGAGTTGAGATTATATCCTTGTGCTATTTACGTCAATGTCACCAATCATTTCTTGCAAATAATCTTTCAATTCTCAATCGAGGTACCTTTATAATTTCCACTTTTATGGAGCTGTAGGATATGTAGGAGATATATGCATGTGCAATGGTTTACGAAATCATCTTAAATTTCAAATTTGTTGTGCATATAATTGTCAGGGTATCATCATTGTTTGCAAAACCTAGTACTGTGCAATACATGAAGAAGTCTCCAAATAATTTATGATCAGAATCAAGCTATAATCGTGCCAAAATAATTAAACATAAAAGGTGAAGATGCTGATCACTGTTAAATCATCAATCATGGAGGCCAGGGCAGCCATCTATAGGGGCTGCAGTAGGACCTGAAACCTCTAATTCCTGGAGATGGTTTATAGTAAGAAATTGTGTGATTAGCACCTCCAAATCATTCCTCTAAACTTCTCTTGCTATGATCTTCCATACGAAATGTAAAGCAAGTGGTTCTCTATTTGAACCACTATAACTAATCATCAATTCAATCTTTCTAAATAGCTGTCTTAATTACTTTACACCAGGAAGCAGTTTCGGTGCTGTACTCACTGAGTGACACACACAAACCGGGATGGAATCTGCATCTTACAAATGAAAGGGGACAGTTTTTACTTTAGATTGTCCCAAATGAAAAACCTTCCAGGCTATAAAGCACTTGATTAGCAATTTAGCATAAGCAAAAGGACATATGATAATTGTCATCGTCGCTGTTGTTACTGATATAATTCTTGTCAGTTAAATTTCACGACTCATCGCAACATGATTACTATTAAGTAATATTCCTGGTTTTCATTACAGAGATACACCCTGTTGGACAGCATCGCTGTGATCCACAAGATTTCTATTTGGAAGTCCTAGCTGGTGGCTGAATTATATTTCCAATACACCCTGGAAAGATGAGCAATCAGCTGAAACTAGAGATGAAACAGAAGAGAAAGCACTCCGGACCAAAAGAAGAAAACGAAAACACAAGAAAAAGCTCTTACTTATTTAAAAAATTGGATTTACACAAAAGAGAAGCTCAAAAAAGTCAGAAACGAAAATGCTAACTCAATGGAAAGACAAATGAATAATTGAAAGGGGCTCCACTGTGTATCAAAGCCTGCCATGAATGGATAATGTAAACAGAACAAGCAATGGAGGAGGATAACTCCATGCAAAAAGAGGGCCAACATTGTCAAGTGTCTTCTTTGTTTTCGTGGCCATTCATCTTTGATGGACTGGGAAAGCTAAAACAAACTCTTGTCTTCCAAAAGGCTTGACAACCTGCAAGACT